GAGCCGTTGGCATCCCTGCACCGGGGAGGAGCGAGAGGATCCCCGGGGCCGTGTGGCTCCTCTTGGGGCAGCTGTCGCTGCTCTTGGAGAACGTCAGGGCCTCTGGGGCGGACAGCGCTCAGCACATCCCCGCTACTGAGGGTGCCTTTTAGCACATGAGTTTGAGCTGCTGCCCCCGTATATGAGTGAATAATAACTATTATTATTAATTAATAACATTAATTAATATTAATAATAGGCCACTCTTCCGCAGCAGGAGCAACTCCGTGTGATTAAGGCTTAATTAATCATTGCGATTAGTTTTGCTCAAACAAGCCGAGAGCTGCCCAGCTGCTTCAAAGTGCTCCAGTCCTCCGTCCCTCCGGAGATGAAGATGTTTATGTGTCAGAAGGCGCCGGACACCCTTCCCTCACCGCAGCGTGAGGGGGCCCTTGTGCAGGGGATCATTCCCAGTCTTGCTCACGCAGGGTCCCAGGTCTCTGGCTACACAGTCTGCCACCGAAGCTGCTTGCACAGCTCCCTCTGATGCTCACACCAGCCTGGCTGCTCCAGCACGTGGCTGGGGAATTTGCTGCCGAGGAGCTGTCCACTGGAGATGTCTGACACCCACCAGCTTCGCTCTGGGGCTGGCAGCCGAAAGCTGGCCTGCTGACAGACCTCGCCCCCGCCAGCCTCCGTCGGATGCTGTGGAGGGACGGGAGGGGAAGGGGACGGCAGCGTGTTCTCTGCTGGGATGGGGCTGGCTGTCACTGGTGGTGGTTCCTGTGCAGGCTCACGGGGTGACTTTCCAGCACGCGAGCGCTGTTTGTTCCCTTGGACGCGTCCCCAGGCCCACTCCGTCTCATGCCTCCCCTCCTCTCCCCTCTTCCAAACTCACGGCAGCGGGAACGGGAGAAGGGCTTGTCGGGTGAAGAGAGGAGGAACGCTTATGGCAGTGTGGCTGCTGAGTACGCGGTGCATCAGGCAGGGCGGCTTGCGCAGCGAGCGGTGTGCTACCCCTGAGCCCGTTACGGTTCTGCTGGTGATAAGACCGTGTGTTCTCCGGAGGCATTTCAGAGCCCGTCTTTTCTTTTTCCCAGGGGCATTGGCAGGTGAGTGCTTGGCAGAGCACCTCTGTGGTTCTTCCAGCAGCCGCCCTCTGTCTTGCAATGCAACACATGCCTTCTAGTTTATCTGTGTTTCTGAATTTTTCCTGATGGACATCATTATAAATCAGGCCAGAGGCTGTCCCCAGCGATAACAATGTCCTTATTCAGCTTTTAAGATTAGCGTTTAATCCAGCATGCTTTTGTTTCAGTATTAATCTGGCTAAGTGGGTTCTTTCCAGAGGTGTCTGAGTTCTGTCGCTGTGTGAGCACTGTGCCGGGAGTGGTCTGGGGGCAGCCTCGCAAACGCGCCCCAGCACCCAAGGGTGCAAGTCACAGCCCAATGGAACGATTGGACTCGGAAGCATCCGGCTTCTGAGGAGGGGGTGCTGGGCCAACGGGTGCCCAAATAGCAAAGCATCTCTCTCTCCCAGGCGGTGAGGACCAGGTCCTCAAAGGCACCGAAGCACCAAATCCTGCAGCGTCCTGAGGAGCACGTGGGAGTTGATCACCCCGGTGTCCCTGAGGGAAGGGGCTGCAGGCGAAAATACGGTCCTGGGTCCACCCGCCAAACCGTGCTCCTTCAGTGGGCAGCGAGGGGACAGCACGCAGAAAGGCATTTTGCTGTTGATGGAGGTGTCCTGTTGCGAAAAAAGTGTCTCTGTTGCCTCCTGCAATTGCGTCCTTAATGCTCAGTAGTCGTTTCTTTTCAACTACACGCAGGATCATACGGACGAAGGTGCAGCAGCCACCCAATCAGCAGGTCCCAGCCTCCAGTCACAGCATAGGTAAGGAAAACTTTTTTTTTTAATATTAAAAAAAATAGCATAATGGATTACAAATATTCTAAAGAACTTTTAATCATTCTTATGGACAGATAATTCTGCATAAAACACTTCAGCACACGTGCTAATGCGCCTTCTTTGTCATTCTCCAAGGGCTGAACATAGTAAATGAATTTTATAAATACTGCTAAAAGGTTTTGAATTTTACTGATTATTATGATAAATAGCTTTCACCATGAGACAGAAAATTGAAATCTAAACCAAAAAACCCCCACTAATGGGGGTCTATAGAATGTCAGATAATTAAAGTAATAAATCAAGAAAGGGATACTTATTCATAACATTTTCTGCATCATTAGTCAGTAAGTAGTTTTGAATGTGTTTTTTTCATCTATCAACCATCCCTTCCATAATTCTTTGTGCACTTGCAGTCTTGAGTGAAGAAGTGGCAAAACTTTTCAAAACTTTAATTCAGCCGCAGACGGGCGATGCTGTGTCCCGAGACGGGCGATGCTGTGCCCCGAGGCGGGTGATGCTGGTGGAGGGGTGTCCCTGGGGGGGACCGAGGCATCCACAGCCCTTCACTGGGTTGACGGGGTCTCTTGGGGTGCAGCTGTGCCATGCCGCAGCAGGGACGGAGAGGCTCAGTCAGGGCTCAGAGCTGCTTTCTTTTTGTCCTTGTTCCATGCAAGCTGCTGGGGCATGGGTAAGACCTTGCTCCACAGGTGGAAGGGCGATGGGCTGGGGGTCCTGGTTTCCCTCTGCCTTCACACTATCACCTGTGAAATGTGCGCATGGTTTCTGACCCCCTCAGCGAGGGTGGTCTGGCATGGTGTGATGCGGCGCGGGCGTTGAGCTGCCTGAGATCTTCAAGCTCGACAGAGGGGTTGCGCTGCAGCCCCGTGTCCCGAGCCTTGCTCTGAGAAGAGCCCAAATAATCTCAGAGGAGGAAAAGCCCCCGCACTTTGCTGTGGCTCAAGGTCCGCCGCTCTGTGTGGAAAATCAGGGTGGAGCAGAGAGATGTTGTGTCCCAGGGGCTGGGGTCGATTAAGACAACGCCTTCCCACTGTGCCTTGCTTGGGACGGGGTGACCGGCCCGTGCTTTGGCACCGTGCACTAAGGGAAGAGCATCCCCCATCCTACAGCGCACACCCTGTCCCCTTGTGATGGGGCAAGGGATGGCTGTGCCTCAGGCTGCTGCAGCACGATGTGGACTGGGCTGGGCAGGGGTCCTTCCCAAGCTGGAGGGGCCGTGGCAGCCGGGTACGCTGGTGCTCATATCGTCCTGCTCGCTGACCGCCTGACTTTGCCTTGCAGCCTCCACGGGGTCTGTGACCCAGGTGTCATCCGTCAGCACCGACTCTGCCGGCTCGTCCTACTCCATCAGCGGGATCCTGGGAATCGCCTCCCCTGGCACCGAGAGCAACAAGCGCAAGCGGGATGAAGGTAGTGGGAGCTGTTTTCTGGTGGGGGCGTGGGTGCCGATGCGTTGCCAGGAGGCGTGGGCCGGGGCGGACCCTGCGTTCACAGAGCTGCGGACGTGCCCTAGTGCTGTCCCGTCATCCGGTCCTCTGCCAGCAGTACTTTGCCGGGGGCCCGTCAGCAGGAGCCAGTGGCCAGAGGCAGGACCTCTGCAAGGAGCAGGGGCTTGTCTGGGTGTTTCAGAAAGCAGTGGGGGTGTGTCACAGTTTTAACGAGACCCTCCTTCCAACTGGGGAACGTTTATGTGCCGCCCATGAAAAGGGGAAGAGTCACCATTACTTTGACTCTGTGACCACCTGAAATAAAAAAATGTCTGGGAGGTGTCCCTGTCCACAAAGAGACAGAAAATTAAACACAGAGCTGTCCGCTGTCCTGCGTCTCTGCAGGTCCCCCCGGTGCCAGGGGCTTTTGTCAGCCGAGGGGAGAGGAAAGGAGCACGTTGTGGTTGGGATTGGATGTTGCCAGTGCTCCTCGGATCTGCTGCCGGGTTTGTCGTCCTGTTTTGTTCTGTGTCCTGGCCATTCTCCTAATGAAAACACTGCTTTGGAGAGAAGGATGCTGGGGATAGAGTGGAAGGGAAAAGGAGAAATTCTGCTTTGATCAATTTTATAAAATTGCCTCTACTTTGATGCATCCCTTTTGTTTCGCAAGAGCTTTCAGAGTGGAGTGGAGGCCAAGACCGCGGATGTGCATGGGGTAGCGGAGGGGACGCCGGCACCTTAGCGGCGATGCTGCGGTCATGGCTGTGGAGGGAACGCAGAGGAGGGGCGGCTGCGCGTCCCGTGGCAGCA